GCATCATGTGTCATGTGTCATGACGAGAAGGCGACATCAAAATTAATTTGTACAACCGAAAGTTAGTTAGTCACGTCCCAGATCTCGCTGGGTTCATCTCAGAGCACTAATGTTCTACAAGCACAGCTTGTGGAATCATGCGATGTGGGATAGGAATAAGACACAATATGACAAAGACCATCAACTTCGAGAAACTCACTTTACTTGATTCTGTAAATTCGCTTTCCGTCTCGAGATTATAGCATTGTTTTATTTTTACACCGGACAAAAATTTCTCTCAGTATTTCAGTCTCTTAAATCAGCCCCTTGTTGCTGCACAATAGGCATTCATTACAAAATCTCTTCAATCCGTGCCTAGTTACTCGCTGTTTTCCAGATTGTGGAAGGAGACACAGCCTTTGTAACCCCCTATACTCCCCCTACAGATCTTCCACCGTACGACAGAGGAGAAGTCAACCGTAAGAAACGATAAATTTTTGTAGCTCTCCTCTTATCAAGTTAGACATAACACTCGGATTTATTGCCTTTTGGACAGTCCCCTGCGTTCTAGATTCCTTGTTACATTTGATATCTGCAACCTTGTTACACTTTTGCCTAAGAAGGATATTTTCTGAGGGAAATGCATTACAGTCCATGTTACTGACTACCAGTGTCGGAAGCTTCTGAATTTAAAGCATTCAAATAGCTTTAGCAAATGTTTATTCACCCATCTATTTATTCGTATCCGTCTTGAATACAAATAACTTCTCGTCGAGAGCATGGAGTGGAAAGTTAACTTTGATAAAAAAATGGCTCTGCACTTCCAACTCAACGCCGTCATCACTTCATAAAGGATCATGTTCAGCACAAGTTAGACCCTATCGAAATACGACTGCGCCATAAATCTTATATCCTGTATAGAGGATAGTTGCTATGATTTCGTTCGATGACCCAGAGATCAAGCCTAAACTATGATAAGCACGAAACATCTGTCCACGGTTGGCCTTTGGTCGGACAGACGAAGACAACATGTGTAACAGAGGAACTAAACGGATCAAGTCTGTCAAACAGGTCCATACAATTAGTCCATAGACTCCCTTCCCGTACTACCATTCATCTGGCAACGTCGCCTCTCCCCAATACCTGACTGCACATGCGTCACACGCGGCAGTGTGACATAGCGTCAATCATGCGAGGACACAAAAATCAGTACTTACGAAAGGTTTTTGAAAAATGTCGTAAACTGAAAGAGAGAGAATGTATGAGTTCAGTATCAGTCGGAACACCTTTCAAACGATGTTAAGGGATATTGACGCATTTATGACTCGTGGTTCTTAGTCCGTACCTCTTTGCTGACAACAATTAGTCGAAATGATTTACATGGTTACTAAATTTTAATTGGGTGTTAAAATATAATAGAATATAGCAGCAAATCGAGTGTCCAATGTAGCTCTGTGAATGTACAGCTAATTTTAATTTCTAGTTCACTTGTGTGAACAATGCCAATGAAGATCCCACCGATTCCATTATTAGAACGCGTGTACCAGGAAGTTTCGGTTTATTCGCGAAAATATTCAAACTTCTAAAGCCTTTTGTGATTTTGTTTGACATACTTTAACCAACTGACTTGGTGAGGTAATGTATCACAATTTAGATTTAAGTATTTATCGAAATATTTTCACGTTTTATCTAACTTTAAGAAGGTTCGACTCAATATTACACATGAAACCAGATATTTCTACAACCATTATCTATGATCGAACAAACCTTCGGCTTCTACTTTAGCCGAAGGTCGTATCATAAGCTGAACGACGGCTTCTGCTTCAGCTGTCATGCCTACTCAACAGGCATTTCAAATAGGTGAAAAAAAAATATGAAGACAGATACTTCAAAAGCCAAATAACTAAAAGTCTATCTGTAGTTTTGTTCTCATCAAAAAATATTCGTTCAATCTCTTACAAATAATATGTGTTATTGGTACAAATAAATCTAAATAGTCTTCTTAACCTTAATAAGATGTTTCCTGCTACCTCATAAACATCTCAACGTTCTCTGTGCTCGTATCATTCTGATGAGTTCTGCAAGGGATAACAGCACTAAATAGTTTATCTGATGTATGTCTGATCCATCACATTTCATAAAATGGGTGATTCAAATTGAGTTTCCAAACTACAAATAAACTTTTTTTTGAAACGCCACTGAATTTGTCAACGACAACGTGCCATTTCTAACGTCAAAATATAAACAAAACAGTCATGAAGCAATATGCGACCGAACAACGTGTTAAAATTATCCAAGCCTATAATGAAAACGGCCGATCAAGGAAGAATACATTTCATGCTTTATGTGAATTTTTTGGCGCACAAAATCGCCCTTGTGAGAGGACAGTTTGGAATTTGGTGCAAAAATTCGAGCAAACTGGATCCGTAGCTAACACCAAAACCCCTAGGCGTGCTCGTAGAGGTCGGTCGGCACACAATATTGCTATTATATATTACTTATTCCACTATACAGCGGATTTTAACAAACGATTTGAAGTTACACCCATACAGAGTCCAAATAATACAGGAATTGAAGCCTAGGTCACACATCAGGAGAAACGATACAATTACTGCGCGGCAAGTTTCCAGGTCGCGTTATTTCACGTAACGGCGATATCAATTGGCCGCCGCGATCCTGTGATTTAACTTCCTTAGATTATTTTCTTTGGGGTATTTCAAGAGCAAAGTCTACAAGAATAATCCGAACACAATTGCGGAGCTGAAACAGAAGGTCAGACGCGAAATTACCAACATAGGGCCTGATTTGTGTCTCGGAGTAGTCGCAAATTTCTCGAACCGGATTACGTCATGCCACATGAGCCGCGGCGGCCATTTACTTGATATCATCCTTCATGCATAATTGTAATGAACTGCCCTGAAAGGACAAATACATACTTTTTTATAATTTTCAATTTCTTCTTTTTTTTAAATACTTTTAATGTAGAAACCCAATTTGAATCACCCTATATATCATACCTATAATTAGCTGTATAAAGTTTCACAGTCAAATACAGAGGCCATGGCGTGTTTCACTTTGTTCAAAAATTATCAATAGACGAAAGGTGAAATGTCACATTTTTTCTGTTTTGCTGAAAAGTTCAGTTCTGAAATTTATTTATAGTACCCGATCACAAGATGAAAGCTTCATCAAGTAAGAGCATCTACAATCTATTCATATTTTACACATTTTCGGGGCATTAAGGTTTTTTTAAATTATAAGTGACAAGTTATTACTCGTGTAGAGTTAATCTTTCAGACGTGCTAGGTAAACAATAGTATAATCACCCTGATATGGCCGTTTAACGTCCAGAAAAGAAAATCGATCAGGGGCTAATAGAATACCTACATTGAGTAAATTGGATTCTTGTAGTCCAGGCATACGCTCGGAAAAATATCCTGGTTCAGTTTTTTCATAGTTTCATTCAGAAGGGACCACTTTTAATGAATCAACGTGTTGACAGGCCCAAAAGTGCGTCAAAAAAATTATTCTAAATTTGTAAGGTGCTTTTTTTGGCTCCAGGTCAAACTGCTTTCAGGTTTTTTTGGGTCATTCTGAAGAAAAAATATCTAATGAACTCTCCTCTAAAGATGACATTTTTCGAAAATATAAGCGGTTCAATATTTGGAAATATTTGACCACGTAAAACAATATGAAGAGACGAAAAATTAATGTCGCCAAAGATCATAAATATTCTTCAAACGTACATCAACAAAATCCCAAAGCAATTTAAGGGGTGCTGGTATTGTAAACATTCATTTTTTAATTGTTATTCAAGGGCACTCTCAATGTTTATTCTACGTGATAGATGCACTAGTCGCCGCCAGTGTACCTACTGTATCTCTCTCACGCTCGCGCAGAATATTCATTGAGCGAGCGCTTGATTAACAATTAAAAAACCAAGGCTTACAATAACAATACCCCCTAAATGCTTTGGGATTTTATTAACGGGCGTTTGAAGAATATTTGAAAATTTTGGCAGGATTAAAATTTTCGTTTTTTTCATATTGTTTTCCATTTTAGGGATCGTAAATGGCATATTTTACACTTTCTCTAATATTAAATCGCTTATATCTCAAAAACTGTTGGAGTGGAAAAAATATTACTGAAATTTGCACAAAAATTGCTTAAACAATTTTTGTCCCGATTTTAATCTTAGCAACAGGTTCGATAAGAGGGGTCCTTTTTGAATATATCATGCAAAAAGGTCGAATTCGAATATTTTTCCCAGTGGATATGAATATACCTCCTGGACTATAGGATTCCTTATGCTCAAAGGTGTGCGAAAATTCCAAAAGGCTTGCTATGTAACTTTGCAAATATTACTTTCAAAACACTGTTAGGAATAGACATATTGTTACTATTGGCTTGACCCCATACTGCAAATTATGTCACGTGATCTGATATAAAGGCTTCTAATTGACCGACAACTGCATGTTATGGATAACGTGACCTTT